TTAAACTTCACACGTCAGAGGGGTTTTCTTTCATCAAGACGGTATCTCGCAAAAAACCAATGTTGTTTATATTTTTTTCAAAAACAATTGCTTTTTTTATTTGTCTCTTAACACATTTTTTTATTGCATTTCTCTTCGCAAGTTCTAACAGAACAGAAAAAAAGCTACAAATAATAAAAATAAAAATAAAAAACAGTCAAAAATAAAAGTTTTGTGCTAAAACTTTCAATTTTATTAAAAACATATTAAATTTAAATCAAATGTTTTTTTAATGAGCGATATTAAAAAAATTACTATCGTAATAAAAAGAATTTGAGAATTCTTACACAAACAATGTACATTTAAAAATTTTCGGATTTTTCAAGTTTCTAAATTTATTCCCAAAACATTTGTATGCGATAATATTACTTCATTTAGAAGTTATCCTTGGATTCAATTTATAATATATAGCGACAATACACTCTTGATTTTTTACCATCGCACCCCCGTATCACATATAAATATATATGTATATATGTCTATATATATATTTATATATATATATATATTTTTATTCACAAAATTGTATGATATGATTACACATTCTAAATTGCTTAACATCTACTTACGTTTTAGGTCCTGTTTCGCTAAATCAAAAAATTTGAAATTATCTTCAAGTAAAATTATGACGTATTCTCTTAATTTCAAATTTTTATATATTAATTACATAAAAATTTATATATAATAAAAGATTTATTGAGAATATTATACTGTTAAAAACAATAAGAATGTGATGTAAAATTTTTTATATTTTTCCCAAAGGAAAATAAGGACTAAAAAAAATCTATACATATAATATTTAGATATTCGATCACAAACGCAACTGCTAAATATATTAACAAAACAATACTCGCGTGTAATGCGGCGAATAACCGCGTTACTTAGCCTTAGTACCAATTTATTTGTTTCGCGTTATTTTTTTTTTTTTTTTTTTTCTATTACGTCGTCCCTTACGATCGACAACACCTTCAGCGAGAACGCTTTGTCGTGAGCGATCGTCATGAGAATCAATCCTCGCGCGTTTGCTAGCCGAAGCCCATTTTTTTTTGAAAACGGTATACAATCTATTTTCTAGTTGTATTGTAACAAATATTGCATCGAATATAAATTTCTTCTTAATTAAATTATATTCATTTGCGTTAGGTCTCTCTCTCTCTCTCTCTCACTTTTGTTCTCCCTCTCTCTCTCTCTCTCTTTCTCTCTTTCTTTCTCTCTCTCTCTCTCTCTCTCTCTCACGAACAATGGACAAAAAGGCGGGTAATATTCACGCATCTCTTAAAGGGCGCACGGTCCTTTATTATCTTACGTTACGTATGGCCGAGTCAAAGAGTCTATTATTTATGTAGTTTAGTAGTAGAGTAGTCGTTTGGTTCGCTTCGCGCAAAATTTGTTCGGAGATCTAAAACCATTCTTATAAAAACGCTCCTCGGCCCGACAAAATATTACCGAGGAACACTAATATTTTGTGTGTCGTCAACTTCATTGTTCCTTACATTGTGTGTGTGTGTTTTTTTTTTTTTTTTGTTTCAATATATAAAATTTTCAATTCGCAGTCCGCGATCTAATCAAAAAAGAGTGTACGAGTGCCGTTTTAGCGCTCGTACGAACGTGGCGGATACTCGATATCGTATCGTCTCGTCGCAACCTGAACACTACAGCCTTGAAAGGGAGGCGGGTATTCTTTCGTTCACATTTGTTCGATTGGAGAAACGGAGGTGTAAGTAGGGAATAAGTGGAAACGATTTTAATTTTCTTAATTAAAGATAGAAGTCTATAGATGACTTTTTATTATATATAATAACGTTTGAAGCCCGCGAGAAGCCTCGCGCGACGAGAATCGAAAAGAAAAAAAAAAACAAAAATATTTTTATTTGTTACTGTTCACATTAAAAAAAAAAAAAAAAAGAAAAAAAAAACCTGCAAAATATAGAAATATCGTCACAACTAATGGTAGTATTAACCCTTATCCGGTTAACCATAATCAAAATATTTTGTATCTCCTAAAACTAAAGCAATCCTATTATTTATTTTGCTTGCTTGATTTGTTTTATTTTTTTTATGAAACAGTTAAGAAACAATACTTTGTTTTACTTTATTTAAAATTTTTTTAAAAAACAAAGATTTTTTAACAAACTTTAAAGTATTTATTTTTTAAATTTTTTTCTTATTGTTCTACTTTCTAACACATGAATAAAATGTTGTATGGTATTTAGAATAAAATTCTACAATGAAGTTGATTACATGTTTAAGACAACATGGTAGACCACTTAAAGCAAAAGCAGCGTGAGAATCTTATAGCGTATACTTATTTACAGATTCGCGCATTGGAATTACTTAAACGTTACCGCACTATTAGCAATATAGTTAAGCAATAAGTTTAACAATCGTACAAGGAAGCTGCGTATTCACAAAAGTTGTTTTTTTTTATTTCTAAGTGGACTATTATGTTGTTGTCAATTTTTTAGTTTATTTAAAAATAAAAAATATATAATTTTTTTATCAAACTATTAATCTAATATAATTTACTTTTCTCCGAAGAGAGATTTCACAAATTATATATGTATATATGTATAATTTATATTATTATATTAATATATATATATACACATACATATATATATATATATATATATATATATGTATATATATATACGTATATATATTATTCCAAAATAAAAAAAAAAAACATTCTTTATATTATATTAGAATAGGTTATCCGGATGAGCGTTCAAATATCAACATTTAAGGCGGCAACAATGTAATGTAACACGAGCATTTGCTAGTCAGCAGAGTGTAACACGTGCTTCAATTCAATTGAAGCTAATCGGTTTTTTTCGCAAATCAAAAATTAAAAATCGAAACACTGTCAAACCAAGCGTTCGTCGTAACGTCCTTATATTATACAAGTTCAAGTTTCGAATTGCTCAATTCAAATTGCTCGATTCGACGGAGTTGCGATTTTTGTCAGTTGCTGCGCCTTCACATGATTTAAAATAATAAATCGAGGTAAGGGAAAGTGTCGCGAGATGCCTATCACGGGCGTTTATCACGACAATAAAAACAGCGCGTTTTTATATTAATGACACTTAAAGCGCGTTTATCAATGCTTTACTTTCAACACAAATGATATTGATCTCTCGGTGTGCATGAATATATAATTGTCTGAAATTATTCTTTTTTGAATACTCTCCTAAAATTGTATTACATTTTTTGTTTTTTTTTTTTTTTAATAAGTGGTCGCTAAGAAATCTCCTGTTCATATTTATTGGATCCCACAGAATAATGGTCGTCGAAGAGCACGTAGCTCAGAATAAAATTTTCCGTAAATTTTTCTGCTGCGACGGCTGCACGCGCGAGTTGTAAAAGTAAACCGATGTGACAGACGATGCGAGTCGAAAGCGAACGAGAAAGCGTCTCGTCGCGATCGCGAAAAGACGCTGAGATACACGTCATACGTACATTACGGGCTTCGTGGAAACAGCGTCCGCTTGTCTGCTACACGCCAGCGAGGAGTGTGGTTTTCGCGTACTTCTAGCGCGCTTTTGAATTCCAATTCGCTGCGAATCGCGCTCCTCTCCCAAAAATTATTTCCATCGATGGTCCTCAATCTTCCAGCTGCCGCTCTCTCTTCGGAGAAATCCGAATCGGAATCCGAACCGGATGATTCTTTTTTTTTTTTTTTTTCAAAGAGAATTTAGACCGTTCTCGAGAAACCGTTACACTAACACCAAAGAAATTTCAGTTTGTAAAGATGTTCTTCATCTTCTCCTTCATTTGAAGAAAATTTGATCTTCTTTCGACCAATCCTCCTCCAAAATTGCTTTTACGTGTCCTAGGAGAGAAATCAAACCTCGTGGGAATGATTTCTCCCTTACAAAGATGTTAGACTTTTCTCTATGTGAAAGCAACTTCTTGGAAATTATTCCATCTTCTTTGATCTATTTCTTGTCTACAATGGAGAGAGTTGCTATCTTCTCTCTTCTAAAAAAAGTTTGCAACTTCTTTTTCAGATTGTTCTCTTTTCTTCTTAATAATTTTCTAATTATTTATTTTCTTTTTTTTTTTGTGTGTGTATTGAATATATTGAAATCTTCTCTCTCTCGAGATGGTTTTTTTTTTTTAGGTTTTTGAGATAATTTCAAAAGCGCGATATCTCTTTTAACAAAAAAAAACAAATCGCGCGTTTGGTTCTTCGTAAAGCATACGGATTTTCAAGATTCGTGATATGTATGTGCACTGGAGATCTCCGAAGTATTCGCAAGGAATGAAAACATACAAAAATGACGATCAGCTTCGTTGTGACGTTTCTTCCGACGTATTGTTGAATTTTACTCACAGAGTTTCACGTCTGATCCACAACTTGATGACAACTGCCGGGACAACATCGGCGTCGACTAAACAACACTTCGCCGTTTAAAAAAAAAAAAAAAAAAAAACTCCCCATACCCACATATTTAGATAGAAAGATTCCGTGAGCATTACGTTGAAGAGTACACGCGATCCTAATTGAACTTATTAGCAGACCCTAGCAGACGGAGAATCGCAGAATGTTCTGATGGTTTTCCTATTGTCTGTCACGGCGAGTAATCGCGAGCAAGCACTTAAATGACGCACTTTCTTAAATTCTTTTAATTCTTCTTAAAGTGTACCCGTCGTCAGGCGATCTCGCTGGCGCGTGCGTTGTTCGTCGTCTCTCATCCGCCGAGCCGGCGGATGGGCCCGCCGCATCAGTAGGGCCAGAAAGTGGGCAATGGGGGCGGAGGGGGTGGTGGGACGGTCGGGTAGAGCGTTGGAGTGGCTATCAGGAGACAAGTAGGCGGCGGGAGAGGTGGCGGTACGGGCGGTGGTGGCGGCGGTAGGACCGGGGACAGTGTTATCGCGGCGGCTGCGGGGTGCAGGGCCGTGCCCGCCGTCGCGGGGGCACACAACGGGTGCAGGGCGGCGAGAGAGGGGCGCTGGCACTGACGCTGACGCTGCTGGCCCTGTACCTCGCCGTTCTATTCCGAGTCCTGCTGCATTTTGACGTGGCCATTACCGGCGGAATTGCTCGACGCGCTGCCGCTGCTGGGCGGGAAGCTCGTGGGTATGGTGCGCGATGACGAGAAACATAGCTTCATGATATAGGGAAATTTGCCATCTGTGAAACATACACGTTGTAATATATCTCACTGTCTGAACTCGCGAAGGGACCCACACACAAAAAGTCGATTCGAGGTAGGATTGCGAGCAGAATTTCTTCTTACATTTCAAAATTCGCGTGGCAAATCTTACAAGATATATAACTATATACAGGGTGTCCCAGAAAGAAAAAAAAAAGATCTGCGCTAATTGGCCTGATTTACTCAATAATTACTCCTTTATTATAAATAATAGAAAAAAATGGTTCAGGACTTTTCGACTCAGTTTTACTCCTTCTACCTGCCTACGAGAGATTGTACGGCAATTCTGGGACACCCTGTATATTTGCGAATAAAAAAATCAATTGAAGCGAAATGATTTTGAAAAGATACATGTCGTCGCAAAGATATGTACATGTCTCAACTTTATTCCGCGAGCAATGTGTTAGAAATTATTGAATTTTCAACATTTAAAACAAAAACCAGAATAATTCTTTTGCGATATAAGAGAGAAGAATCTCGTAAACTCGGATAAGAGGGAAGTGAAAAATCCCGAGCTGCAATTGTGTACGAGCGAGAGCGAATAAAGTCCCGCGGTCAATCGCGGGAATATCATAATCCTATAAAATCCCCCCCCTTCCCCCCCCAGAATCGCACTACTATTTCCCGATGAAACGCCGCTCGAGAGAAATTCCAAGTTTTACGATCATATTCGATATACTTACTGCTGTTTTCGAGTGCTGTGTGATTGCACTCCATGATAGCGGCCACCGCGACACCGACGCTGCTAAACTCGATCAGGCCGGACGACGATCGTTCGGATTTAAGTGGAAACAGCTTAACCGTCGTGGGCGCTTCGATGCCGCGCTCTACAAACACACGATTCACTGTCTCCTCGGTCAGATCAGGCGGGGTGTTGAAGAAATGGACTATCTTTGACGGTGGTTGTATCCTGTTCTTATTGGCCATTGCGGGATTCAAAAATCTATAAAATTACAAGGTTGCACAGATTTTTTCTTAGATTATTCACAGCTTTCCTCCAATAAAATATGCTTTTACGATGTTTTATCATCTGTTTTCGTCATTCTATTTGTTTTTACATTAGATGGCCGGGAGAAAGATTTTATCTAATTTCATATACATGTGTTTTTTTCGTGATTTACGTATAATTTACCCACACAGAACAAAAATCTCCATTAGACGTCTGTTAGACGTCGACAGCTCCATGCGACATCTAACAGATAATCTAATGGATGTCTGTGTGGGTATAGTTTGATGTAAAATTTATCATTTGTTCGTAAATTTCTTTTGTTCTACAATTATCACTTGTATATGCCACATATATTTTGTAATATTGTAAAAGAACTAATCTAGAGATTTTAGAATATTTTTATATGATATGATATATTCTATGCTTTGTGTGTTGATAAAATATAAATAAAAAAATTGTACAGAAAAATAGCTCCAAAAATTAAAATAGAAACGCAGATATGGCTGTTGAAGCAAAGACACGGATGTTGTTTTTTAAGAGTGTGTTGTTTATTTAAATGATGTGTATAATAATGTATAAACGTTTCGACCCTTGTTTTGGGTCTTCATCAATATTCTAAAAATATATATGCACGTTGATCGAATAGAAGATATGTAGATAAATAAAGATAAAAATAAAAATTAAATAATGGTGAAAATAAAAATTAAACAACCGCATTTGTACGTCACTGTAAGGATGCGGTTGTTTGTTCCTACTGCCAATTTTGTTCGTCATCCTTCCAAACATCATAATTTTTTGTAAGTTTTTTTTAAACTGCTGCTACATTTTTATTTTTATCTTTATTTATCTATGTATCTTCTATTCGATCAACGTGCATATATATTTTTAGAATATTGATAAAGACCCAAAACAAGGGTCGAAACGTTTATACACATCATTATACACATCATTTATAAATAAACAACACACTCTTACACAACAACATCCGTGTATTTGCTTCAACAGCAATATCTGCGTTCCTATTCTAAATAAAAAAAACACACACACGTCAGAAGTCGCATAATCCATGTATAAATCTAACGCGCGATCTGTTATCAAAAAATACTATTTGTGCAAAATAAAACTATTTCCATCGTATCGTAACACAAGCGGTGTGATATTGAAGAAAACTCATCCCACACCGGAAGGAATAGTCGCAATGCTGCTTTTTATTTTCGGTCTTGTCTAAAGTTGACACCGCACTTTGATGAAGCCTCAGGGGGAATGTGTTTGTTGTCCTCGGCATGAAAAATTGTTCTCTTTCTCGTCTTGCCGCGCAATACGATATCTTATTCTCGACAAAAATGTCAACGGCTTACATCTTGGTTCCTCAATTATGTGAACGAAAGCGGATTTCCGCGCGGAAGAGAGACGCGCAGCAGTTTGTCTTTCCGCGCGAGCTTTGGGAAACTTCCTGTGATTAACTTCCCGCAATCAGAACTCGTTCTCTCCCTTTCTTACTCTCTCGCGCGCGCGCGCGCGCGCGCGCAAGATGGGGCTCGTTCCCTGCGGGCGATTAAGTTTTTCGTCAAAGTAACACGCTCGCTTTCTCGGAGATTCTCGGTGCGTTTTTTATTATCTCTTAAAAACAGGTATATCACGGTAACCATCGTATCTCGTCGCTTTGTTAAATTATTCGCTTTGCTGAATCATTCAATCTACCGCGAAACTCGCTTAAAGCGAAATTTTATATCGTCTCTCTTCGTATTATGTTAAATAAACGAAACGTTGTGAATGAAAGAAATGCCAATGTAATAAGTCGAAAGAAGAACACGGAGAAAAAGTTTCAAAAGAGTTTCAAACTCTTCCAACCAAAATGGACTAATTACATTTGATTCGTTTATATTCGTTTATATTCGCGACATGCGACACTATCGTATATCGAGAATGATAATATTCTTAAAACAAGAAAGCATTTTCTCTATATAGGTTTATAATGTAATAAATACGTATAAGTTTTATTATTATATTTATAACTACGTAAAGTTATGTATTTTAATTTTCAACGCGCTCCGTGTACACCGAAAAAATTATATTCTCGTAAGTAGAAGATCTTATACTTAAAAAATCTTCTTCAAGATTTTAGATGATATTCTTCTGAAAAATTAAGAATATATTCTTTATTTAAGAATATAGTCTTTTTCGATAGTGAGATATGTTTTTTTTTTTAATAATTAAAAATAATATAAGTGTTAAATAATATAAGTGTTAAAATTATTATTATACTGTATTAGTTTACATTTCATTATAAAAATAATAATTAAAAAGAATATAAATATAAATATAGATCATTAAAAATAAAAAATTAAAC